TTCTTTGTGTGATCTGATCTCTATGTGTGAGAGTAAGGTATGGGTTGAGGCAAGAGCCTTGCAACCCGATGTAGTTGTGGGGATCAATGGAAGGGCATTGAATTAATGCCTCGTATGTGTGAAAGAAAATTGTTCCGTAGATGTCTCTTGTCTCGTTCGCATTCTTCATAGGTACTCAGGATCATGTAGAGTGAGCAACGGAGAGGCTAAGGGTAGGGAGACCGTGAAGTGTTATTCTGAACACCAATGACAAAAAGGTTTAATACGGCAACACAGATCCTATCACTGGGGATTCAAGAGGTGTACTCATTAAATGCCCAATGCTTTTGTCTTATTATTGCAATATTAATTATCGAGGCAACCCAGCGAGACGGATAGGGCCTTCGGATGGATAACTAACTGTTGATGCAAAACGCGTGCTGGTCAACATCCCCCACTTCAGTTTGTAACAAGCGCTTCTCAATGGGTGACTTCCAACGCACAAATTAAGATCATATTTGGTCTCAACACAAATATATGGTTGTAAGAATTAAGACCTCATACCCGTGCCTATTTTTTATTATAAGTGTTCTCCTTCAATTGTTTTATTTATATCCGGTCAAAAGATGGAATTATTTCTTTAGCAAAAGCTTGCTTGAGACCCTGGCTTCAAGGGGATCATCCTCTTGTGGGTTCAGTAAGTTAGGGTCACCTCTGGGGAAAAGGCGAGAATCCTTTCTACTTCATTTCCAGATCACCAAAGGAAGTAATCAGGCAGCGGGGATGGAGAATGATCCGTGCGCCGCCTGCCAAAGAACTATCACTGCAAAGAACCAATACTTCAACCTTGTCAGAGAGGAAAGGCTCAAAGAGAAGAAGGGGCTCGACGAGAAGAATAGGGTCGGGAAGGAGGACGTGTGATGTGCATCGCCTGAAAAGCCCCCCCCCCACCCACTTTGTTTCCAGTTTGTGGGAAAAAATACGTCTGGGCCAGTAGGGAGATCGGTACAGGACCCGTTGGATGGCAAAACACATCTGGACTGCGCGTTCCGGATGGTTGCCGACGGTTTGGGTGTCCAGTTGGAGATGCGCTAACCTTCACATTCCATAGCCGGTTCAGAAAGGTAATGCATGATACACAATTGTATAGTTAGTCCACAAGGTAATGCATGCTAAAAGATTTATGTAACCATGTGCCTCAAATATGGAATCAATCATCCTTGTAAATATGTAATCAATAATCCCCGCAAATGAAAAAGAAAGAATATGAAATGAATCAAAGGAAATGAATGGAAAACTCTCATTAGTTGAAAGGCGTGTGTAAACACTAAATTTGAATGGTGTATAGTCAATAGTATTAGTCTTGGCTACTTTCTTAGTCATTATTGAATTTTTTTGCTTCATGAATACAAGCTCATGAGCAGAGATGATATGTCATTATTGGATCTTATATGTTAGATTTTAGTTATAGTTTACTAACAAACCCAAAATCCCCCCTTTTTTGAATTCCCCATAAAATTTTCAATGAAAGTGGCCAAAATCCAACATTCACTATTGTTTAAAAAAATCTCAGTCATAGTGAAGCACCGGCCTCTCGTTCTCTCCATGTGGCTCTCTCTCAAGAGCCATCCCTTTCAAGCTTCCACCGGATCCTCCCTCTCCTTTCGGCCTCACCAACAATGAGTAGGGCGAGGGACCCACCCTATAGTATAGCCTAGTAGTAGCATAGCTCACCTTGGGTGCCCCTTGTTCGATTTGAGGCTCTGGCAAGGCTTTCTTATCGTCTCCCTCCTCTCGGTCACCGCCACAATCCTTCTAGGTGTCGGCTTTGCATTGTCTTGTCCTAGAAGTGCCCATGAAAATAACCTCCCCTATTGTCCTGTTCTCGTTCTATCTAGCCTCCCCCCACGGTAGCATGCTATCGGGATTTAAAGTATGGTTCTTTGCTAACATATCGAGATATATTTATATTTTTTTATTCATATAAACCCCTTGCATTTTCTGCCAGTTTCTTCTTCAAACTTTGAGTCCTTGTGCTTTTGAGATTGGAAAGGTGGTTTGAAGATGGTGCATGATGTTCGCTCCTTCTTCTTTGCATTATCTTCTTCTTTGTCGGGATTCACCGGTGTGAAGAATCTTGTTAGTAGGTGATGATGACACATGGATCATTCCTAGAGTGTTTTGGCAACACTTTCTTCCTCCAATTGAAGGCATATGAAGATGCACATGTTATTTGTTGGCTTGTTGCACACTTGTCAAGCTTATGGTTATTATTTCAACTTTTAGGGAAGCTTTATATACCCTAGGTTGGAAGGTTATTTGGGATTTTTTGGTGCCAACATGCTAATAATATAAGCAGTGGTATGTCGAAAAACAAATTAGCAAAAATCCATGATTTTACAACATATGGCGGGGGGGGGGGTACAAATTAGAGAAAACACTTGTGTGGGGTAACTCATAAATCTAGACTGGGTCACCGCAGAGGCGAGTAAGACTCACATCACAACACATTAATAATAGGCTGGGAGGTGCCTAGATGGGAGATTGGGAGAGGAGCCAACTGAAGAACTTCTCCTTTGATGAATTGTAATTTCCTTGGAAAAAATCATCGAAGAGGGAATCGACGCCTCTAAACCAAGCAAAATATTACGGCGGAGATGCATTAATGGAACCACAATAGGGCGCCCACACTATTAGAACGATGACTAGGAAGTCCCACTGCGGTGAGCCAACGAACGAGGGTGTGCATTAACTAGTTGCTAACCAGCAAGAATAGAAGTATTGTCATTCAGAGCATGGGTGAATGTGCCTGGCATGTGGTGACCCATGAGTGATGACATTGTCATTCAGCTAATAGTCGATCTATAACGCCATTTATTACCTGCACCAAACTGGACAAATAATATGTCCCGATAGGTGGGGATTAGGCAGATATTCTACAAGGGATTTTTCAGGCACCAACATGGTGAAAACATTGGCCAAGTGTAATTGGCAAATTAACCTCTGCAATTTAACTCCCGTATTCCTCATCCACAAAAAAGGCTTACCAGTGCATGCAATCCTTGCAGAATTAACTCCCCTCTTTCACCCGGTGCATGCAATCCTCCGCAATTAACACACCGATTTCGTTGAGATTAATCACCACACTAAAGTCTTGTCTTGGTCGCATTGCACTGCATAGGAACCAACCCACCCGAATGGAGGGGGTAAGGGCTCTCACAATGCAACTTTCTTACTAGTACAATTTCGTATGTATTTTGGTGATATGGCATAATAGTTAATGAAGAGAGATACTCCCTCCTTTCCGGTTTATAGGGCTTATCTCAAAATTTTAGTTTTTCCATTTTATAAGGCTCAATTTAGTTGTTTTCCATCACATGTTCAGATTTCAAGGTGCATTAAATCATTGCATGCAAGTATTGAGAGAAAATTGACCAATGCATGTACTTTATGCATGCATGCATTGCAATTAATGCATTGATAAACATAATTTTTTGAGAAAAACAAGAGCATTAATTAGATGCTTTTGCAAACTACAAAAAGTATTCACCACTCACCATCTATCTTGGTTGGTGAGATTTTTGAATTGAGCCTTATAAACCGGAAAGGAGGGATTAAGAAGGTTGTAGCTTGGCTAAGATACAACCCTTGCACGTGGCCATAGGCAAAAAAAACATTGCTAGCTCAATCACATGTATGCATGAGCCTCAAATCATTAAATTTAGATACAACCCTTGAGAAAATGTATTATGGTAGTTGTCTCTTTAACTCCTGTAGCTCCTTACACCCGCAAAAAAAAACTCATGTAGCTCCTACGATAATGCGCTAAGAAATTATGCATTGGGAGAGACATAAGAATAGTCACAATGATCCAAGGTGTACTATATCTAAAGCATGCCTCATAGGTACAAATCTGATATGGCACCATGTTTAATGAGGAAAGAAAGTACTATTTTTATCTTAATCTAGAGATGTCTCTTAGCACTAAAACCAAGAAAACTAATGCTTTTCTCTCACAAACATATTAAGTGAGGGTACTTTTAGATAAAAATCTAAGATATAGTCCATTGGTATCAAAACACACAAATTATGTATATGATATAGCTTAAGATATAGTAGTGCAATGGTAGGGCCCAGATAATGCTTGTATTCAATTTTCTACTGAGTTGTCGGTCTCAAAATTTGCAACATATGTTTACCCTACATTTATATTCTAAAGAAGAGATATGACTATGATCAAAGAACAAATATGTCAACAATAACTCAGGGGCGTATATGAATGTAGTGCAACTATTTGTCATTTTTCTTCCATTAATGTAGAACGGTCATGCCGTCAGGAAGATAGGCTGATCAAGTGTACATGAATGGGGGAAGAGCCTGCTAAGAAACAATTACAAATCCAATCGTGAAAATTTATTTTCACTACATTTATATGCCAGAGAAGAGGATTTGACTATGATGAATGAGCAAATATGTTGACATTATATAGATACCAATGGACAGGAGCCTGCCAAGAATAGGAGAGGAGCCTGCCAAGAAGCAATTACAAATCTGACCTTTATAATATGGCGCCCTTGCACTAGTGTTAGTGTGCACTTTTGTAATTTCACACACCGAGAATCTATATCTATATCTGCATATCTATATATCTATATCTATATCTATACATCTATATATCAATATCTATATCTATATATCTATATACCAATATAAAAAGCCCAAACGGGCAGATTCAACTAAAGTCGGCCATCAAAGCAGGCCAATTCAACGACTCAAGCTGCTTCAATTGTGAGCGCTTAAAATATTTAGTGTGCATTAATACCATATCAAATATTAGCTCCAACCTATATCAAATAATATCCTACCTAAGATATGCATGCAATTAATATACTGCCTAATATTAGCGTGCATGGCACGCACGCATTTAGTAATGAGTATAAATACATGGTTGCCCAAGCCGGTTTGTGATATGCACCAATAGTACATTGCATTGTTGGAGGAGAGAGCAGAGTCAATCGGGGATGTCGAATACGATGCCGAGCATGGGAGGCTTTTCTGCTGTGTTTGCAGTGGCTTTGCTTGCCGGAGTCTTCCTCGCTTCCCTTCCTTCAGGTATGTGTTTGTATATAGGTGGTTTTGTATGTACATGTGCTTAGATGTCTCTGTATGTATGTGTTACTGAATTTTGATTTAAATGACCCCTTCTTTCCGGGTTCTACTTATATTTTATCTTCTATAAAGCAGACCGTGTTTGTAAAGCAATTGTATGTTCGTACTGTTTTTAATATATGATCCGTACATTTTTGTTGGGTTCTACTATCAAAGCAATGATAAAATTGTCGGATATGTATATTGATACCGTTAAGGTGTATATTGATACCGTTAAGGTTTCATAACTATATCCACGGAAAAAAAGTTTCATAGCCACATCCCGCGAAAAACAAATTAAAGGTTTCATATCCACACGAAGAGTTCCATCGAAAGTATTGTGACATCGACCAATGTATGGGAGGGGAACTTTTGGTCAATATTGTGCTTAATGTACAGTGGATTATAGCCATTTTTGTCTGGATATTAATTTCCCTTGATAAATTATTATACGGTGCAGGCGTGCAATCCATCGGCGTGTGCTACGGCATCATCGCAAACAACCTCCCACCGCCGAGAGAAGTGGTGCAGCTCTACAGGTCCAAGGGCATCACCAACATGCGCATCTACTCCGTCCAGCTCCAGGCGCTCGACGCGCTCCGCGGCTCCGGCATCAGCCTCATGCTCGGCACCACCAATAACGACGTCGCCGCCCTCGCCGGCAGCCTCTCCGCCGCCACCTCCTGGGTGCAGGCCCACGTAAAGCCCTACCACAGCGCTGGGGTGACCATCCGGTACATCGCCGTCGGCAACGAGGTCACGGGCGGCACCGCGCAGCGCATCCTCGCAGCCATGCGGAACCTCAACAAGGCCCTGGCAGCAGCCGGTCTCGGCGACGCCATCAAGGTGTCCACGGCGGTGAGGTTCGACGTGCTCAGTAACTCCTACCCACCCTCCGCCGCCGTGTTCGCTCACCCATACATGGTCGACATCGCCCGGCACCTGGCCAGCACCAGCGCGCCGCTGCTCGCCAACGTGTACCCGTACTTCGCCTACAGCAGCAACCCGAGGGACATCAAACTCAACTACGCGACGTTCCAGCCGGGCGCGACGCCCGTGAGGGACGCCCGCACCGGGCTCGTCTACACGAACCTCTTCAGCGCCATGGTCGACGCCATGTACGCCGCGCTGGAGAAGGCCGGGGCGCCGGGCGTGAGGGTGGTGGTGTCGGAGAGCGGGTGGCCGTCCGCCGGTGGGCTCGGGGCGACGCCGGAGAACGCGCGGGCGTACAACCAGGGCCTCATCAACCACGTGGCGCACGGCACGCCCAAGAAGCCTGGGCCCATGGAGGCGTACGTGTTCGCCATGTTCAACGAGAACCAGAAGCCCGGGCCGGAGACAGAGAGGCACTTTGGGCTCTTCTACCCCAACAAAACGCCCGTGTACCCCATCAATTTCGCAGGAGGAAGGTCGGCGGCGGCCAACCACACGAACTCGCATGGGTTCGGTGGACACTAGATTGATGCATGTAAATTTTCTAACAAAATAATATCCTCGCAGAGAGAATAAAAAATAGTACGAAATCAATCATGCAGCAATGGCCAGGCAAACATCTTCTCTGCCTAATCTCTTCTCTATCTCTACATCCATCTCCAAAGACCATATCATCACACCATGTGTATACATTGTTCTCACTTCATTTTCACTCTTTACCGAAAAAGAGTTTCCCCCGCTTTATATTATAAAGCAACGATCACCGAAACCAACAACGATAACCACACAACACCACACCACAACACCACACAACACACCCAAGGCTGGATACAGCAAGTACAGGAACAGCCACAACACCCCAACACTCTCAACATACAACAAATGAGCAACAAGGGCTGAGCTTGAAGTAGTCGGAGAAGTCCACCATGACAGAATGTCACAGAGAGACGAGGCTGAGCTCAGCGAATGTAGGCCTCCAAGACGGCGCCTTCAAGAAGGGGAACGACACCGGAGTGCCGTCGCCACCGGATCCAAAGGATCATGGCTTTCACCTGGATCATTCAAAGGGGGAGAGTAGCCACGACGACGCCTTCAGGAAGGAGACGACGCCCACGGACGCCGCCGTCGTCGGCCCGACCGAAGCCGAGCAAGGGATCACCCCTGGCACGCACGCTTCACCTTCGGAACGCCACCGCTCGCCGAAGCACCGGCCGCCACGCCGCCCGAGCGGCCATAGCAATCAGCCCACACCTGAGTCGCGCACCTCGCTCACAAGCAGCGTGACTACCACCAACGAGGCCGCCGCCCCGGCATCCATGACCCCTCCGCAACCACCACGACAGCAAAGGGATGGAACCGACCGATGAGAGGTAAAGGGACTCCCTTCACCCCAAAACGAACCCTTGGCGGGAAGACGGCCCAGCCGGCCACATCCAGGCAGGGGAGAGGGTTGCTAGCAGCCGCGGGCCTCGACCTCGCCGCAGCCGCCGGCCTCGACCTCTCCTCAGGTGCCGGCCTCGTCCACGCCGCAGCCGCCGGCCTCGTCCTCGCCGCAGCCACCGCACCGCACCACCAGGGGCAGGGACCAAGAGGCCTCTGCCTCCCTCCCGGGTGCACCACACCACCACCGGCCAGCAAACGGCACCCGCCGAGCTGCCAACGTCCACCAACAGGTCGCCACAGTCCGCCAACACCCCCAGCTGAGCAGCAAGCGAGAGAGGGTCGACCACCACCGTCACGATGCCATCCCCACCAGCCGGAAGGCGAGGCAGGGGCCGCCGCCCGTGACCACCGCCGCCCGGAGGGCCAGATCTGGCGGAGCCGCGACCAGAACCAGCCCCCAGGCACGGACCCCCAGCACGCCGCCCGCCACGCCGCAGCCACGCCGTCGTCGATCGGAACCAGCGCGCCACCGCGCTGCCGTGCCCGTCGCTAGCGCGACACCCCGGTCCAGCCGCCTTGGCCCGCACCGAGCCCGCCGAGCAGAGGGGTGAGATCTCCCTGCCGGCGCCGGCGTCAACCAGGCTTCGCCTAGCCGTGCCCTCTGGCGGCAGCGAGGTGGAGGAGGAAAGGGCGGGGGACCCCGCCGGCGGCGTCTAGGGTTTCCTCCCGGTCGCGCGCGGGGCGACCCGGGAGGAGCGAGCGAGGGAAAGGTGACTGGTACCTTAAAAGTTCAAAACCCAAAAACTCCCAGAAGTGAACACGAAATTTTACAGAAAAAGAGTTTCCCCGCTTTGTATTTCAAAGCAACCAACACCGATTACATAGACAATGCTGGGGCGAGCAGCACAACAAGCCAAAAGGGAAAAAGGAAAAGGAAACAAATGCCAACAACGGCAGCTCGACAAAGCGAGGATGACCCGCCACCACAACGCCCTCCAGAACCGACCCACCACGATACAAGGCTTCGATCCGCCGCGTACCAAGCAGCACCTCCAAGAAGGAATGCGGCGCCGACAACGCTGCTGCCCAGACGGGTCCTAGGGTTTCCCCCGGCACACGGAGGGGAGTAGGGATGGATACTACCGACACCCTTCAGGAAGGACTGGCGGCACCCTCAGGCGTCGCCGCATCGGAGCCAGAAGACCCGGCAAGGATTTCTCCCATACTCCATACCACACCGCCCAACCAGGCCGGAGCCAACCAGCCAACTCGCCGCCCACCAACATGCGCCATTGCGGTCGCGGCGCCACCCACGCCGCATCACTGAGATCACCACAACGAGGCCAAGAGGACTAGGAGAGAAGCGTCGGGCACTACAAGAAAACAAAGATTAAGTAACACAATCATGTAACATATAGAAAAACGTGTTACAGAGAAAAATTACTGTAACACATCATGTTGGTTGCAGTGCGGACAGTAACACATAGTTGATAGGATACGAAAATGTGTTACCGGTGCATTAAAATAGTAACATATAAGTTTGTGTTGCGGCAGGTAAGTTACAAACTGTTGATACAGTAACCAATAGTTATGTGTTGCTGATTGTGTTACAAACTATGTAACGTTAGAGAAAAAGATTATAGTGTAAATTATCTTTTAATAAAAAAGAATAATGCCACAATGCTTACAAACAAAAGTTTGGAGTTTCAATCAATTAATTTTCTCAACAATCGTTGTCTATGATATAAGGTTGTACATAGGTCTTGAACATTTTTTCTGTATTACTTGAAAATTAATCCAGATACATATGTAACTCAAACTGAAATTACTTCCAATACATACGCATAAATTCATCCATTTAATCTATCGAGAATAGCGAATAAATTTCAAAAATTGTTCTTAAAATTATAAATATTCGCATCAGAGCATATTATATATTCATATTCTCCCTATAAAAAACTCACGGCATGTGGCAAAACACGCAGGCATGTAAACAACTGTGGCCTTCTAAGAATCGAACCTGCTACCTCCACTTAAAGAAACAGGTGATTACCAACGAGTTACCTAGGCTCTTGAGCTTAACTTGAAGAATTCATCTAATTCTTAAAATTAATGAACGGATGGGCCATGGCCCATTAAAAAGAGAGGTGATGGCTGGCCGTCGAGGAATTATATTGGGCTAGGATTCCGTGACTTCAGCCCGGTTTTGCTTCTGGAAGCTTCCACCCAATTTTCCTTCTTTTTCCTGCTGGCTTTTTCCGATCAGTTTTTTTTCGTTTTTTATTTCATTACTTTTTTATTCAAATTCATGAACTATTTTTCCTGAAATTCATGCACTTCTTTCAAAATTGCATATACTTTTAAAATTCGTGAATGTTTTTTTAATCCCGGTTTTTTTGCCAAATTTCTTATTTTTTCAAGACAAGATTCTTTTTTCAAATTCATATTTTTTGAGTCCGTGCACATTTTAATTTTCTTGGATATTTTGTAAAGCCATCATTGGTTTTGAAATTCGTAGACTTTTTACAAATAGGCGAACAATTTTTGAGTTTGGTAGATTTTTTTGAACTCGCTAAAATTTTTAGTAATTGGCAAACTTTTTTTTATTATTAATTCATATTTTTGAAATAAGCGAACTTTTTAAGTGCGTGAACATTTTCCAAATTCTTTACTTTTTTTAGAATAGAAGGATATTTCTTTAAAATTTATGAACCTTTCCAAATTGATGAACATTTTTTGAATCTATTAGTTTTTTTCAAACTCACGAACAAAATTTCAAATTCTAAAGTTTTTCTAAAAGTCAATGGTCAACTATGCCATGGGTCAATGGTCACCCAATCGATCGGTCAATGGTGAACCTATCGAAACAGTTGTGCGAGCGAGCGAGCTGGGATGAGCGACCTCGTTTAGCTGGCCGGCCCACGGCTCGCGGCGCGTGAGCGCTAGTTGACTGTCAGGCATCCTTTGTTGGCTGCTCCTGGACTGGTCAACCAGAGGGAGTTCTGGTCGGCATTGTATTGGTGTGAAGGGAGGTCGGAGTCGAAACAGGCGGGATAGCAGACCGAAGACGCTAGCTCTCGCGAGGTAGTGAAGCATGATCCATTTGGCCTCCAGGATAGCAGACCAAGGACACAAATGATTCTTGCAAGTCGTCTTCAACCTTAATTATATTAACTAGTAGATCGCATTCTCACGCTTATAGTAAATCCACAATGGGCATACTACATCACAATTAAACCGATAGTTTGATCCCTTGCATACTAGGGTACATAATTATAGTGTGTTCGGGACACCTTGTTTCCCGGGACACTAACAGTAGCCAGTTGCCCCTGTCCCTGTCGTTAAATGTTGTTATAAAAATAGTGTTGCATCGATCTACTTTTGAGCTAGAGTACATGCTAAGATCCTCTAGAATGTCCCCGCTTTGATGAACCTCGACGCGGTCTCTTATATAGGTAGGCAAGGGTTGGTCGTTTCATAACTATCTATGGGGGATACGATACGATCAGATGATCGCGCGATTATGGGAAACCTATCTTTCATAATTGATGAATCTCTCAGATAGCACATCCTTCCTTATCCCCTCTGAGCTCTCCGCTTTGATGACCCCGTTCTAGAAAAATGAAGAAAAAAAAAATCAATAAATGCAATCCTTTCGCATCGACTCCTTTTATGTCTACTGGTTGTGAAAAAAAATACTAAACGAAAATTCCTTCACAAAACGAGGTATCATGTATGGACATTCATGATTTTTCAAGGTGATAGCCATACCCATTGCATAGTTTATGATAATATGTCCAAATTTGGCACATAGGTGCATCTTGCCATTACAAACAATGTTGGCAAACATTAAAAAAATGATATTGACAAATAGAGTTTCCAACTTTTTCTATTTTCTCAATGTCAAAATGGGTATTTTTTTATAAGCAAGTACACAAAATGGGTGCGAAAAATGGCACCACACCAATTTTCACACAAAGTAGACAATATTTGATGGACAATTTCAAAGTTTCACGAATTTTCTAGATTTCTAGCTACTTACGTACATTTAGTGCACTTCTAGTCATTTAGTGCACTTCTAGTCATTTAGTGCATATAATTGAAATTCAGATTGTAAATGTATAAAAATATTGGCATATTTT